TCACCCCAGGATATCGTCTCCCGCTGCGTGTGAATGAAATGCTATTGTGTTTTCCGTCATTTTCACCGAAGCCCAGGTGTCATGTGCAGTGCTCCTAAACTCCTGCCCGCAACAAGGATCAAGACTATGCCACCCGAGACGCGGCTTTCATTCCACCTGAACAACACGAAGGAGTGTCCCTATGTCACCGTGCTTGGGGCAGCAGGCATTAGTCGAGGGTCCTTGGTTTATTTCCTTGGGTTTTCGGAATTGTTGATGTTCAAGGTTTCGGACCTGGATTCTCAGAGCCAGGAGGACCTTTGCGTCAAAACAATAGTAAGAGTCATCAGAGGCCTAGGACAGGGAGGGAAGGACACCGAGAGGCGGCTGGGCCAATGAAAAGTCGGGACGAAGGAACAAAAAATTGGCGTAGAAGATAGGCAAAGTTTAAGGATGAGGCACGTAAGCCACGAAGAAGGCCGAGATTTCCGACCAAAGGTGTATTCATCTTCCGGATACCTGCGTGCCTTTGTCTAGCAACTCGTGGGATCTTCTTTGCTGCCTTCGTCTTCCTGTGTTTTGATTGTAACTTCCCTTTTGGCATTTTCTTGAAGCTGTACCTTCGGTCATACATTCTCTTCAACCTCGTTGAACCGGTCTTGACACTGGTTATTCTATGAACCTTTGGTCTTGAATTGTTCGGTTTGCGGCTCTACGGGAACGGTCCTCTCGATTTTGCAGTATTGCTGCATGTTTTCAGGGTTTCGGGTTTGGAGTCTAGGATGTTGGACGTGAATGGAGGCCGATACGTGCGATAAGGTGAAGTGTTTGGCTTCCTTGTGGTTCCCTCCGTTGAAATCTTCCCAAGACTGCAGGATGCATCACTGGGTTTTGCTCAATAGACTTGGCTACTTGCACAAGGCTGGTTGCCGTATATTCTGAAGCAAGTTCTGCAAGACAAGGGTCCGCGCAAGCTCTCAATTGCAAGCGTGCACCAAGTTGTGTGGCGACACGTTCTAAGGTTTATATAATATATAGGTCCAGGTTCCTGGGTAGTTCTGTAAATTAGGGTCCCTTTTCGGGGTCCTTTTTATAAGGGTGCGGTATTATAATGGGGACCTAGAGCGGGACCCTAATTTAGAGAATTATCCTCCTGTTGAAGAGATAAAGGTGCTCAAGGGCTGTGCGGATTGAGAGCCGGATTCCTGATGCGAAGCTCTCGAGCATTAGAAGCCTTGAGCTTTAAGCTCTAGGCCCTGGAAGCCGCAAAACCCGAAAACCCTAAGCCCTACACTCTAAACTCTAAGCCCTAAGCCCTAAAAGCCTAGGCCCAAACCCTAAGCCTTAAAGCCCAAGGCATTGCTTCAAGGAGAGCCGGAGACTTTGCGTCTTGTCGATGTGCTCTGCAGCCAATACCACGCACGACATATCCAGGCCAGGCTGGGTCTGTGCCAGAGACTTGGGGTCGTAGTGAGGTCTGATCGTGGATTCAGGAACCCCCAACCTCCAAGCCTAAACCCCGAAAAGCCTGAGTCCGACAAAAGACTGGATCGGAGATTCAGGAACCCCGCAACCCTGAACCCGAAAGCTGCAGAGACGAGCAGGTGAACATCAGTGCCAGAGGTCTGTCGACGGAGCTCTTCATGCCAGGTGACCTTTGGGGGAAGAGCGCCCAGCAGCTCGTGGAGCTTTCAGAGCGATACCCCGAGCCGCTTGGCAGGGAGCATGTCGGGGTTAGGGTTGGGGAGGAGGGGCTTTGACCCTGCCTCAGTGCAGTTTTGCGCCCTGCGAGCTTCAGAATAGCCTTAGACCCCTTAGATTGTAGGCAGAGGATTTGTTTGGAGACTTGGAACCTTGGTGTTGTGCAGATCACTTGCATGCTCCTTTCAGCTACACTGATAAGACTTAAGCAGCACGCCGTTGGCAACAGGACCCTTTTCCTGATCCCGGTTTTCCAGCGGCCTGCCTCATCCTCGACCCCTGCGATGGATTCATGGCCTTTCGTACAGAAGCTCCTCCAGGAGGGATGTCACGGGATTAAGTCCAACAGGCTTAAATCCAAACCGTCATTCGCAGGTAAACTACATTTTTGGAGATCCTAACTCCCAAGGGTGTAACTGCTCAGACTCTAAAGGGTGCTGGGCCAGAAACCTGGTATTGGTTTGAGGATCCTGGAAGGGTCTGGATTTCGCCAAGCCTCAATCAACGGTCAGGGCTTTAGATTGAGGGTGCAGCGTTTACGAAAGCTAACACTTGCATAAGCTGAGGTTTAGGGTAGTTTCTCCAGAAGGAGTTCTGGTCACCACACGGTTTGCAACTCCTTCAGTCATGGCGGGATCTGGGTCGAAGCTTCAGCATTCTTCAACATGAAGCGCGTCGTTTGAAGCGTCTGAAAGGGTGCAACCCATGCTAAGTAGATGCTCGTCTGGCCGGTCATATAACTGTGTACTCAGACTAGCCAGAGTAGGTCCTGCATTGGACACAGCTCGTTATGATGACCTGCAGGATTCAGCTGCACGGAACGGGGGCCAGCCGGTGCGGAACCGACGGGCTGCAAACAGAACTTTTGCTTTGTCTTTCCGGGCAGGAACACTTGTGCTGAATGTAGGACGCAAATGATTGCAGCGATGCCCCGTCTCTCTTCGGAGATCTAGGCTTCCACCTCTAGCATGCAATTTCGAGCACAAAGCTGTCACTGTGGCCCCGCATCTTTCCGAAACCCAAAGTCCCTAAAGCCGGAATGCTACCCCGCAACATTGCTTTATGTTTGCACCGTCAAGTTAGACCATTGAAAGCCGCCGTCGGAAGATCGCAAACTTGGAACCGCCCAGCCCGATCAAGTCAACTTGGCTCAAGCCCTTGTGCGGATTTGATGTGGGTGGCGGCATAAGGGTTTGGTAAAGGTGTTGATGCTGTTTCACAGAGGCCTTACGCGTGTGTCTCGGGTTGCAGAGATGTCTTCCTTGGCTATTTGGTAGCTTGATGCCGCAGCAAATAAATGGATATGACTGCCAAGCTCGCATCTAACTCGTTGTGCACCGGAAGCCTAAACCTCATACTGCATCCCGCATATCTGCAGGAGGATCGCTCTACATCACCTCAGATACATGCCGGTCGGTAGTTGATGTGCCTTTCAATGCCCCATAAGCCTGCGAAGTAAAGCCCTACCCTCTGCATCGTACAGGCTATCACAAGCCTTCACCATGCTTCAGAACTAACAACCCCTGGATGCCCCAATATGCATTAAGCTTCAAGCCCGACATGCTATGTGACCTAAGCCTAAATTCCTAGGCCTCAGACCTGACCCCGCTTGCAAACCCTGCGCCACAAACTGCAAGCACCGCCTCAAACCGTTCTCCTTCAATCCTGAGCCCCAAACCCCAAACCAAACCCCCACCCCAAGCCCTGAAGCCCTAAGAAACCTGGTCGCCTTCTTCGACAACTCGGCCGGCTCGGGGACGGCCCCCGATGCAGTGCCCGAGATCCCACATGAGTATCCCAAGAAGGCCTTTTTAGGCTTCGGGTTTTAAGTCATAAGGGCCTTGGGCTTTGAAGGATCGGGAAAGCTTTCTCGTCGTAATGGGGTCTACTGCTTTTGGAGTCTAGCGCCGGCTTAGAGTCTGGGGCCCAGAGTTTGTGCTGCGAGCGATAAGTACATTTTGCTTTTCTGTGGAAACTAGCCTTTCTTGAGCACTTCTTTTCGCACATTGCACCGGGCGCTGAGGAGCTGGCCTGAGTAGCGGAAATCGGTCTCCCTTCCCTTCCCTTCCCTTCCCT